TTTTTTCAGGCACTCTTTGTCTGAGGAATATGAGATGAGGGATTTTTTTTTTTTCAGTAATTGATGAGCTTAGCTTGATAATATTAATGAGTAGCTGTAGATTCCGAGGAAAAATCATTGAAGAAAATTCAGAAGTATTTAATATATATTGTATTGAGGCATAGCTACTTTAGTACGGGCTGCTGGCCCTCATTTCTTAAGGCAAGGAATAGGTGGTTCGTTCAATTTTTTTTTGAAACATGGGAGTATGTTGTTTCTTGAAAATGGGACTATGGGAGTATTCTTTACTTATGCTAACCTCTTTCTCGAGTAATTATTGATGTTACATGGTTGCTCAAGCATTCATTCCTTTTGGATTAGCCTCTAGAAAAATTTTAGATTAGTATTTTCTAACTGTCATCATTTACTTGTATGATCTTCTGATTACTTTTGCCTTTCGGTTTGTCTTATATACATAATTCCGACTTCTACACGTTATGCTGGTACGGGTTGGCTCATCTTAATCAGACATGTGCCACTCGTTTGCAGCTTTGGATATCAACCAATGCCCCGAAGAGCAGATCTTAGATTGTCAGTCAGATGGTGAAGATGAGGTGGGTGATGAGAATCATGATGTAGAAGAAATGCTGATTAATGAAGATCTACATTCAGGTATTGTTTAATTAAAAGCTAGAAAAAGGTTTTCCTTTTTATATCCTTCTCCGTGTCTTCTTTCTGGCTTAATTGGTGGTGTCGATTCTATTAAAATTGCGTTGCTTTTGGTGTTATTAGATTCTCACTTGCATTATGTTTTAGATCTAAATATGCAGAATACGTTGAAGTAGAATTGATGTTCCGTAGTTTTTGTTTATGCCCTAATTGTTATGTATATTTTATGTCTCCTTGTAGAAGATGAAGCTGCAGAGAGTGATGATTCAATTTGGGAAGATGGTCCGAGAGTCCTAAGAGTTAAAACTGTACATATAAGCTCTCCAATATTAGCAGCAAAAAGTCCATTTTTCTACAAGGTACTAGTAATAGTTATTTTGTAATAAAAAATTTTCGCTTTCTTGGTGTTTCATTTATACATGTTTTCTTTTCCATTTTTGCAGTTATTCTCCAATGGTATGATGGAATCAGAACAGAGACATGTAACCCTGAGGATTAATGCCTCCGGTATGTCATCAGTTGCTTTTTTTTTTTTTTTTTTTT